CCCCCAGACCGCGGGACCTCACCCGAGAGCTTTCAATAAACGCGATCTTTCGCTCTTACCCTGCTTGTCTTGGTCAATTTATTGGCTTTGGTCAGATTAAATCTTACATCTCAGATTACACCTTACATTAAACCTTACAATTATAAAAAGTATATAATCTTTAAATCATATATACACATATATATTTAATATTCTTTCAAGTTAGATTTCAAAACTATAACCAAGGAATGACTTTGAGATATTTCATGGGCCCTGAAATGTTTTCAAAAGTTTATTCTCTCTTCTTAAAGGATTTTTTAATAAACCCAATTTAATATACTTGAAATCACATAGAAAGCTTTATCAAATAAGAATTAATAAATATATATTTTAAGTTTTTGCCTCCAAGAAAGGGCAAAACAAGTTATTTTATTTAAAATTTCTTAAAATACAGCAATAGAATTTTAAGATATTTAAAATAACAAAAGCTCCTCGCTACTACATTTTAAATTAGGCTAGAGATAGGCAGTATTTACACCTCATAAATCAGACATAAAACTTTACTAAATTTACTAACTTTATTAATAAAAGTACCTACCATAAGAAGCCAGTATCTTTATAAGAAATTCTTCACTTATATGACTGGCATCCCCTATAATCCCACTGGTCAGGGTATTGTAGAACATACCCAATCTACCCTAAAGGCTATATGGTTAAAACAAAAAAGGGGGAGTAGAGGAATAACCCCCAGAGATAGGCTAAATAGGGCACTGTACTTTTAAAATTTTTTAAATCAGCAGCATGGGGAAATGGCTGCTGACAAACACTTTGTTCTTCAGGAACGTAAGCCTAATCCTAAAGTGATGTACCGGGATCAGGAGTCCTCCTTTTAGAAAGGCCCGGTGGAGTTACTAACTTGGGGAAGAGGGTGTGCTTGCGTTTAGGTTCCAGATGCAGACCCCAGTGACCGAGTTTGCGATCGGATCTCTGAGGAAGAGGCAGGACACGCTCCAGCGGAGGGGTCATTGGCAGACGGAGATGACGCCTCCTCTCACCCGGGGCTCTCTGAAGAGGCTGGATGCGGAAGCTCAAAGCATTCACTCGGAACTCTTCCTCGAGGTTGATTTTGGCTTTGATCGCCTTGACTGGACTCTTGCCAGTGACTTCGGCTGAGGTTCACTGGACTCATATGATTGATCCACCAACCTTCACTCTGCGGACTTGGAATAATCCTGATCCTCCTTTGACTACCAACGACTCGGACTATATTCAAGGGACTTGGGTGAGGCCTGATGGGCATTTGGGGGACTCTCGTTTTCAAGCATTGTTTAACCAGACCCTCACCTAGAATGTACCCACTGTTCCTCTGTGTATTCCTTAATAGCTTTTATTGTGTCTACTATGGTAACTATCTCTTGGGTATATAGAAGGCCTCTAATACATCATTAGATATTTTGAAATTGCATGAGGAAATTCAGGCTAGAATGAGTGCAAAGGGACCTGAGCTTCCGCTTGCGGAGGTAGCAGCTAAGATTTTTAATGAGATTGAAAGTTGGTTTTCTTCTACCCGGTGGACCTCGTTATTGGGTTCTGGGATTATGCTACTTATATGCATAACTATTCTGCTTTGTCTACTTCCAGTCTACATCCGAGCCATTGGAGGAAGCCTCCGATCCTTGCAAACCGCTGTGTACGAACTGCACCTAAAGCACAAAGAAGGGGGAGATGTAAGAGGCCGTGGGGCTCCAGGAAAGGCCTGACCCCACTCCAAGTCATGTAAAGGACATGAACTTGGCTTGCACGCCAGTTCTTGTGATCTAGGCAAGCAGACATTTTGTCATAGCAACTGTTTGTCATAGCAACGTCAAACATAGATGGAACTAGACAAAGCTTGCCCAGCCTTGCCCAGCCTGTAACGATCTGCTACTTCCCCATGATAGGCCAAGCCCTAGCAGTGATCTATGAAGCATGACCAGCCACAGCTTAGCTATAAAACAGTGTGTGTAAAAAATAAAGTTGCTGGTGCTTTGTGCCAGTCCTCCTAACCCCGGTCTCTGGTGCTTCAATCCCACGCCACCTCTACCCTGCGGGACCCTTGGGAGCGGGTCTCCACAGGATCTCATCTCCTCACCCCTTCCTTTGGCCATGGGGATATTCTTGTGCCCCACTCCCGTCCGCTCCTCCAACCCCTGGCTTTCTGGGTCTCCGCTTTGGGTGACGCACACCCTACGCAGGCCCCCTGCCGCCTTAAGTAGTCAGCCCTCTCCAACCCCTTCCATCCTCTTCCTCACCTGCTGGTCCTGAGCCCTCATCCCCTCTCACCCGCAGGGGGTCCCCTGAGGAGTTAGGCTGAGGGCGCTGGTTCTCGGACTGGAAAATTAGTTCCCAGCTGGTCATGAACGCTCCCACACTCTCCCCTTAGAGCAGTGGTTCTCAACCTTGGCTGCACATTAGAATCACCTGGGAATCTTTTTTAA